GATGAGTATGACCTGACTCATTTTATGTACCTGGGTTTCTAAAGCTCGTTTGTCAGAATCCCTGATCAATTAAGTAGCCACTGAGTAAGGGTGAAAGCCCTTAATAGGAATCTTTACAGGAGTAGGAATAAATGGTGAGTACCTGCTGTGAAGGTATGTTTTGAGTAGAGTTCTGCAGAGATCTCTGCTGAGACCTGTATTATTTTACAGTATTCATAAATGACCTGGATAACTGCTAAGAACTGAGGTGATAGCAAAAGTAACTGTAATGACAGTTATACAGCATAGTGTGGAATTCCAGAAAAACCTCATGAAATCAAATACCAATAAAACAGCAAACAATGATCAACATACATAAATATAAGGAAAAATCAGCTGTTATTCAAAACAGAGATCTTGGTGTTATGTTGGATAATTCCATGAAACTGTCCCTGTTCAGCAACAGTCAAAGAAGCAAATCAACACTGGGAATTGCCAGAAAAGGATAAGGAACTATCAGAAAACTTCCACCCAGTGTAATAATTGCATAGTTCACTCGTATTTCTTGAATCTTAAATGTCAAAGAGACAACAGAAAAGGATTTCTTTTTCCTCTCCTTTGTCTCTCCAATAGCAACAGAGCATGAAATGAGATGTGTACCAGTCAAGTTCAAGCAAGAGTCCTTCAAAAAGGAGGAGGCTGAGTTGTGGAACTTGCTGCCAAAGGTGTTCGGGTGAAAAGGGCTTATAGAGGTTCAGAGGTGCAACGGACAGGTACCTGAAACAGACATATTCTGAACTGCAGAGCTGGGAGTCTGAAAGAGGAAATATTGCATATGCTGCACTGGTTTTAACTCTAAACATGTCAATGCTGGAGACAGGTGATTGACTGACTTAGAAGAACCCTGACTCAATACGACTGTACTTCTGTGCAAACACACATGTGCTGAAGATTTTACAATGAAGACAGAAAGAAACTATTTATCTTTGGTTATATACTGATTTTTGTAGATTTACTTTCACATTCACTTCTCATATCTGAACTCCCAATAAATAAAATTTCTTTCTGAATAGAAAAAGGTAAAACCAGGGAATATGCTTGAATTTTGAATTTTTCAATTCAGTCTGTAACTCAGCAGGTGGAAAGAAGTCACTTTGCACTTCCTGTGGTACCCACCAGCATTCATTTCAGACAAGAGGGACTGAATATAAGTCACAGCATGAAAAGTAGGCAAAAGTGAACGTGCTGGGGAAGAAAACAATAGCTCCTACCTGGAGTGTTTAGACTGAAATGTCAGCATTCAGGAATATCCTATAGTTCCTTCTGTCCCCACTTTCACCAGGAATACACAGGTGTACACAAAACTGCAGTACAAAAACTTTACTTGTGAACTAATGACTTTGATGGGCACCATATAGTGGAACATTTCTGAAGAAAAATATTGCAATGAGAAGCCAAAGGAGATGCTATTGTAAGGTTATATAGCACCAGAAGTACAGCCAATGAAAACTGATTTTATTTACTAGAAGGAAAATCATTGATTCACAAACAAGGACGTGTTTTTGCTAAATAGCAAGGCTATTATTTTCAGTAACAATATTTTCCTTTTTGTCTTAAAAATGTCATCCACAAAGCAGAAATACCTTTTCTACATAAGCAGTTTGTTCGCCTAGTTGTAACGGACTAACTCTTTCCAGCAGGAAAGTCACAAACACGGTTTGAATTCCTCAGTCAAGGACACACTGTATTTGACTTCAAATAAACATTTCTCTTTCCAAACCAAGAACATTGACATAAGACACACTAAGTACCAGGATGCTTGGTAAGTCTATGGGAAGTTGTTACCTATATCCTTGTCCCAGGAAGAAAACAGCTGGGAACTGTTCTCTGGTCCTGAGATCAGAAAAAAGGTTTGCTTCATACAGCCTGCACCAAAGCTTGGTTCAGGTCTCTGCTCCTCAATGTCCCTGAAGCTCTAGGGCAACAATTTACTTTACATGTTTATTCCAGGTGTTTTGACACAACCCCACGGTTATTGTGTTACAACCTATAAGTGCATTACAGCCTGCAGCATGAAACAGAGTTTATGTTTCAAGTCCTGGGGTGCAGCAAAAGAGCATAGGGAAGGTTAAAAAACATGTTGGAAGAGTTTTGGAAACATACGAAGGGTTGAAAGAGTCAAAGCTGATTCAGCCTTGTTCATAAAGTCTACAGGGAAGCAGTACTCAGTACACGCAATCCCACAACCATGACCGAGATCTCAGACAATGCCTATGACTGGATGGTCAGCTGGGGTCTCCTTGCATGAAACTGCTTCCTCACCAGTTTTATTTAGGAAATCAGATGTAGTCATAGTTGTGCTCAGCACATGTCCTGGTATGGCTCTGGCATATTTTGTGGATTTGCTCTGATTTGTGCTTGAGTCTCTTGCCAGAAACGAAGGCGAGTGACACCTGTATCTGATCATTTAACTGATGTTACTAGATTACCTAAAATTCATACCTAAAAGAAATGGATAATATGAACTACAGATATGGTTGCATTTCTGGATATTCCTCCATCGCCTGACTTCAAGATCAATTTTGATGATCTTTCTCAGGCTAGTGGAGGGCCTAAGATCCCTCTGTGAAGCAAAGGTGACATAAATTAAATACATCATGTCCAGAGTATAAAGCTCTTTGTTCTGTGGTCTTTTTAATTCTCAGCCTGACTTATAAAACTAAGATGTATAATGCCAGGGATCAGCCTAGAACTTTGGCCTGTCGTGCATTGTCTGTGAAATTCTTTTTTCCCTTTTACTATTTCCTAGTGCTGAGGCAGATGAATGAGTGGATATATTATGTGCACATATATGTGTGTCTGTCATTCTCACTGAGTGTCTGCTTCTGTCCTTGACTTACTTTTCTTCTTTCTTCATGTTTCTTTTTTCTTCCTTTTTACAATATCTCAGTCCTAGTCAAACCCTCTCTGTTCAACACTTCTTTTATTCCTAAAACACTCAATGCTATTCAGTGAATATCTGTACAGTAGGAATAGACAGAATACGGAGTGCTTACCACTGTGTAAATGATGTGCTCCCTGAGATATTTTCACGCATTGTGCACACTGTTGTCCTTCACTTAAATTATGAAATAAAAAGAAATGTATCTAGCTTTCTTTTGAATTCTTGAAATAAGTTTGAGCAATTATCACTGTATATTTGTCTTCTTAGGTTGAAACCAGTAATAAAAAGGCGAGAAGCAACAAAGACTTAGACTCAATAGGAAATATGAATGTGTCAGGTTTTTCAGGGACCGAGAAAGCAGGATGCTTTAAAAGAGAATAGGTTACCAAGTAAAGGCCAGAAATCTCCTAACTTACTGGTATGAATGATAAGATTCTTGACAGTATTTCAAGCACTTTCAAAAACATTTCAATTTTGGATATTATTATCAAGGATTACATATTGTTAATCTACCACTACCAAATCACTCAGGTCACAAATGCCCAGGTCCAGACGAGGCTTTGTCTGAGCCAATGAAGGAAACAATATCCTTCCTAAGGATTGCCCCTCTTCACTGGCTTCAGGACAAGTGAAACAGCCTCTGTGGATGACTGGTTGCAAAGCAACATAAGCATACATCTTGAGAAGAAAATATATCTCTCTCCCAATCTCTACCAGGATTCAGTTTTGCAGATTTCCTGACAGCATCACAGTAATTGCTTTTTGGGATTGTGACTAGGTTTTCCCCTAGTGGCAAGATTGGATCATTTGGGAGGGGGAGATCTACTGAGTTTTCCCTTGCTAGTTTTGAAATTTTAAAACATTTCCTACAGTAGTCTACAAATCTAGTGCACAGAATGGGTTATACCCAAGGCATGTTCTCCTCCAATTTGGTAAACTACCTACCCCACTCCTCACTCTAATACAAGGAAGACATGGTTCAGTGAATGGCCACTGTGATAGTCAGAAACCAGAGCACTTGTTCTGAGAAGAGGCTGAGGGACCCGGGCTTATTCATCCTGGAGAATAGGTGGTGTCTAGGGGGACTGAATGACAGCCCTCTAGGTGTACTGGGAGGTTGACAAAAGACGATGGATATAACTACACTGAAATTAGAAGGGTTCAAAATGGGTAAAGACCTGACAGGACAAAGCCCTGAGCAACCTGATCTGACCTCATAACTGACCCTGCTTCAAGCAGGATCAGGTTTTTCTAGACACCTCCTATGGTCCCTTCTGAACTGAGCTGTCCATTGATCTATCTGCAATACCTGCTGTTCAACAGCAGAGCTAGTTCTATCACAATTTGGAATAAGACACAGACAAAGCAAAGCTTCTTTTAAAGAATGTGCTTAGCATAGCAAAGTAACAGCTTAAGTTTTTCTGTGTCTTTCACTTGAAAGTGGAATGAAGACAACAGCCCAAGAGCATCACTGTGACCAATAGCTCCTGAAGCAGTCTACCTCTCTAGTGAAAAGGATTCCAGAAGCATCCTAGCTCTTCCTGGCTGGGGGTCATACCACATTCCCAATGTATGTTATTTCTCTCTGTGGTAGCACAGCCAGAAGAACTCAGTATAGTATGATTAGTTGCCAAGATACAAACGGCAGAAAAAGAGTCAAAACTTCCCTTAAACTGTGAATTGTTCAACAGGTTCCCTGGAAACACCATTCATGACACAAAATAAATGCAGAATGAAGAAGACTACCCATTAACAGGATGCTATCCTGTAGCCTTGAATCAGGTTGTCTACACAATGCCCAAGGAAACACACTGCATGAAGACAGTACACACTGAAAGAAGATTATCTTTTTTTTAATGGTAATCTGTATAGAACCTCTAATAACCCTTAAAAAAACTTTCATGAACTGATTTCTGTTCTGTGAAGCTTTCCTACCTGGTGAATACAAAAGCCTATAAATACTTTAACTCAGACTACGCATTTTTATTTTTTTTTTCTCTTCCAGGTTGGAAAAGATCTCAAAGATCATCAAGTCCAACTCTACCATGGTTACTTTGAAAGTGCATCATGAAATTACCTGTTACCATGAACATGAGAAGCACAAAATGCAAAACTGTAGTGGAGCAAGGTGGGATCAATGACAGAACCATTTTCTGAATACTCAATCAATTCATCGAGATAGCAAAGATGTCGGTGACAGCCTCTCACTCCATAGCGAGCACAGTATTCATCTAATACGAACACTTGACCTGGGCTAAACCAGCCCTGAAAGAGAAAGGCAAAACAACCACAACATTTTGAGATTTATTTCCCACTCTCATCTTTTAAATCAAACAAAGAACAAAAGCATATGTTTTCATGTGCATTACATAAACTTCTTGTACCAGAAAGATTTATATCTGACTAATGCTGATGGCACTGGAAGCTAGATCCAACAACAGTCCTCTTGCTGCAAGGAACAAATGTCAAGAAATATTTGCAGTTCTGAGTTACCACTACTGTGAAATATATAGTTTACAAAACACATGCTAATACATCCAAAGTCTGGTCCAGATTAAATTATATCAAAACCCAATATAAAATAACTGAATTTCTGTAATAATGTGTATCCTAGCCCTAGACATAATCTACAGTCATTATTGTGATTGATATTCTGCCAATATGTCATCATTGTCACCGATCTCTCTGCATTTTGGAAAAGATTAACAAAAAATGTTGCATATCAATGCCTAGCAATACAAAAGCAAACTATTACTAAAATTTCTACTTATTCTCATAGGAGAAAATTCTGACAAGAATAAAAAATTTTAATGAATTCATTACTTCAACTTCAGTGTCTATAAGAGATCTGTTTTGATGGGGTCATTTTAATATAAATCTGCGTATCCCTTGCCCTTTTTCAATCCCATACCATGCACAAGTCTCAGAAACATATAACAACTATATCCTACAGAGTATTAGATAACTGCATATTCCTTATTTTATATTTGGGGAAAAAAATGAAAGAAACAACAACAAAAAGTACTCCCCAATACTCTCCCAATACCAATAAGAATGTAGGATTGAAGAAGCTTGGGTTATATACTAATTTAATACAGAATTGTGCATAATACTAAATCTCACACTTTTTAATTTTTTTTCTAGAAGTTTGATGTGTGGTTATTCTGTAGGAGATGAACTGGTTCTAAAAATTATAGGAAATAAGCCGCTTGGGGAAAAAAATTACACTTATATGTCCATGTATTCTATTGTTACCTTGACATTCACAATTTTTTAAAATGAAAAATACAGTTAAATATGCAATTTAACAAAAAAATTATCACCCACTCTACTTAATAAAAGCTGAATTTAGAAAAGAACAATAAGAAATACATCTGCTTTATGGTTGCTATAGCACTGTGCATTTCACCTAACCTCTTCTAAAAGTTCCTGATTTCAAGGTTATATTAAGTGTCTTACTATATTATTATTATAAAAAAAGATTTTGACCCCAATGCACTGTTAGACAGCTAACCATTTTCTCTTTGAGTGCCAATTACTTTGTACAGATGTACCTTCCGGCCTCTTCTTTGATTCAGTGTGCAACTCATAGATAGAAAATGAATCCTTTAACTTTTTCTACACATACTTATCTGGTAGTATTTTTAAAAGGAAGGAACTGTAATCAAATAATATTTTTTTTCCATTTCTAACACTTGTAAACAAGCTTAAAAATTCCCACTGTTCTCTTTGCATTACATGACTAGTCAGACGAATGGAAAAAAGAAGCAAAAAAAAAGTTATCCTCTTTTGTTGCTGTTGGGACAGTAAAGTGAAAGAAATTATGTGCTGTGAGGCATTTTAGGCCCTTAGTGAGAGATCACTCTTTCAGATACGGTAACCAGTGAAAAGTAAAGCCTGAGGAAGTTATGAGGTTTGATGTATACAAACCTGTTTAACAAGTCCATATAATCTGATGGACTTCCACAAGATTGTTCCTGTTTTTCCCTAATGAAAACAAAACCTGAAGCAGCCAAATCCTCAACTAGTCCACGAAGCTTAGTAAACTTTTGTAGGAAAGGGAGACTGCAGCAAATAGCTTATATTTACAGCTGTCTTTGAATGTGAAAAACATACATTTGGATACAGAGATCACATTCTACTTGTTTTTGTTTAATAACTTATTCTCATTTGTTACTTGCAATTCAGGTAATACATATATGCCCATATCTCTACACTGCCTGTGGATCTGCATCCCTTCTTTTGGGATTTCACTCCACAGTGGAATGAAGAACTACAAGATAGGTGAAAATGTCTGACATAAGGCAGCTACATTTGGACCTTAAAATGCCTGTACAGGTGTCAGCAAATCCTACCACAGGAGCTCTTACCATTATCAAAACCTTCTGTTTTTATTGAAACCTTGCCAGAGGACATGATAAATTGCAGCTGATAAAATCAGAGACAGTTTGTGTCTCTTTGCTTTCTATTGAGTGGCACAGCAGCAGCTTGCAAGTGTATAATTTTCAAATTTGAAACCAATCGATGGGATCCTTTATTCCAACTACAACTGCAGCTGCTGAATGAACTAGGAAGAAAGGACTACTTTGTAACAACTCTTTC